ATTATTATTTTTAATATAAAATTAAACATAAATAAATTTCAAAATATAATTATAAATATAGTATGCTAGAATTAGTTAAATCAACTATATTTATATCATGAATCAAGCTTTTGAATCTAAGTGATTCACTCTTAAATTTTAAGGTACTTAGATTAGTTGATCATAATTTAAATATCACTAACGTTTTAAAAAATCCTTTTCCTCCAATTCCCAAAATTGTAAATTATTTAAAAATATATATATTATATTTTAATAATTAAATTAAATAATTATTGAAAGATATAATAAATAAGAGGATGTACTAATTAATTATTTTCTTACTTTATGAGGTTTAATATAGCAAAGCTAATAAATGTGTGGCAGTTTGGCACCCAAATTCTGGGTGGGTACGTGGCCAAAGCGCACATGATGATGAACCCAATAGTAATGTGCATATGCCACCTACTAATTTGATTGAATATCGATCAAACCTTACCTTATAACTTTCCATTTATCCGTCATTCATACCTTCGAAACACACAGCAACCAAACTAACTATTTAAAATATATATTGGGCGATGAAGAAAAATGATAAGAGAAGCACTATAAGCATAAAAGAATTAATATGCATTAATTTGATCGGTTAATTAGGGGCAATGAAGTAGTAAGACATCCTTTACAAACTAAAAAAAATCATAAGTACTAAGAGCAAAGTTGAGTTGGTATCTAGTAACTAAAAAAAAGATAATAACTAGTACACCTAGTTTGACACACCTAGTTTGACATACCTCTAAATATCTGTTTGGTTATGTCATTAAAATTTAATGTAAGTATAGTCAATTTAATTACTGTTTATATGTTATATGCATGATTATATCTTTACATTTATTTGCTTTTAATTTTAGACTAAATAATAATAATTTTTTAATAAATATGTTATATAATTCATTGAACTAAAAACTATATCGATCAGTGTTCTTAAAAAAAAGTTAATTTAATATGAAGTTTTCAATAATTCAAAGTAAAACCTTAGTCATTTCTCCCCCTTTATCACCCATAATCCTTTCCACCCTCTCTTGCTTCCCTTTTCCTCATGGTTGCTACCTCTCTTCCCGTTGGCAATTAGGGATGATGAATAAATATGAGAGTTTCACTCTTTTTTTAAAGGTCCTCTATTTTCAATGGTTATTCTCTCCTCTATGGGGTTGTTTTGTCTCCCTCTTTTGGAGTCTCTACTTCAACTCTCTGTATATTTTTTTTGTTGAGTTTTGGCCTAGCAAGTAGAATAGAATGACATCTTAGTGATGGGGCATGGGCTCATACTGGTTAAAATTCACAACTCTTACTTCAATTGTCGATGGCATAGTTGGCAGGCAAAAGGAGGATCCTACTCTCCTCTGGGATAACTTAGGAATGAATTTTGTGGTTCTTGAAAGAGAGTACTCCAACACTCCTCCAAATTAGTGCGTGAATGTGTGTAAGCATTCATATTGTTTGGAATATTACCTACCCTGAGTGGAAGCTGGCTTAGTAGATAGGATTACTTAGAAGCGTAGGACACCTGTAATGGTAATTTTTTTGTTTTGGTAGCTTTGCCTCTTCCCTTTTGGTGATTGCTCTGACAATCTTTAATGATAGATGATTCACTTTGCTTAATTGTTTAGATTTGTCATGGTCAAAATCTTCTTCTTCTTTTTTTAAACCTCTTTTTTTTTTTTTTCTTTTTTTGAACAGCCATGGGTGAAATCTTCTATTTCTAGTGCTGTAGATTTAGTTTCTTTTATCCACCAATGATCTATTAGTGTAGGAATTATTATTTTTTTATCAGCAAAAAAATTAAAAAATTATTGTAGAGTCCAAAGAGTACTCTTACCCATATTTAAATACAACATATAGACCAACAAAGTAGATAAACCATAAATTTCTTCCATAACCAAAGACAACACAATAAATAACCATGACTCCACGCTGAGCCTCCTAATTATCGTTGCCCCAGTTGAAGTCTACGCTACTGCTTCAAACACCTTCTATATTGTTCAGCAACAGCAACACACTCAAGTATCTTGATTGCCACTCATGAAATGAGAAACGCTCCCAGCCACCTTAGTCTTATTATTATAATCTCTTTATTAATAAATTTTATGATTCACAACATAAAAAGTTCAAAAGTTGAAAACTCTACAATGCTAAACATATTTTTTTTAGTATGTTGCAAAGCTAAATAATAGGCATTAATTAACATTTGATGTACTAAAAAAACCTTCCATAAAAAAAAATCTAAAGAAAATCTTTTTCAATTATACAATGCAGTTACACATCATATATGATTTTTGTGGAGTTGATTCCCTCAAGCCCCATCACTTTCCAATTTTCTATCTCGTCTCTAGAAGCATAAGCAGTTCATGCATTCATGCTTATGTATGTTTCGAGACATGCATTAAAAATTATCTTTGTCATGACTTAGCTTGTTCAATTACAGGAGAAGCATAGAACAAATTAAAGCTTTTCCTCCTATTATAATCCATGCCTGAGATGATTAAAACTAGAAGAAAATATATAGTCAATATGCGAAGTTATCACTATAAAAAAAAACCCTAGAAATTTCATTAGAGAGTTACATATCCTATATATATACAAATTATCTACATCTATCTATATATTACACACTCAAAGGAAAATGTTTATGTTTACAAGAAATTTCTCTACAACATAGCTAGAACACCAAAATATGTTAAAAGAAAATAGTTTCATAAAAATAAAGAAATAGAAACTAATTTGCATGGTGAAAATAAAGGCGTCAAAGTTTCATGTTGGTGTATGTCGATGCATACTTTCTAGCTTGTTCAAATGATGAAATACATTTAATGCGTGCATGCATGCTTGTCTATGTATGCATGGCTATATATATGTGTGCAAAAGATGACAAAAATCAGTTCGTGATTTTACCATGTGTATAGAAACACTGCAAACGCTAGTACGTATCTCTAGCACTGATCATTTGAGACAATAATAGACCGCAATCTATAGGCTTTTTCTTAGTACAACAATGAGTTTTCCTATATAAGCATAACACTAACACAATCACACACAAAAAATTAATAGAAATACACAATAATTGCATAAAATCATATCCAAAGCTAATATTGTTTCCTTTAATTAAGGATATGTATCGGTATATATCTATAAGATCAAATCTTCTCTAATATAAGTTCGTAATTGCTAGTTCATTCGCCTAGATAGCTTTGGCGAGAGGTGGATATTGTTCAAAGAATTTTGCTCATTTCCGAATGCCGCCAATGAAGACATCACCTCAGCTTCCCAAATGTTCTCATCATTGAATGTCTGCTGCGTAGAAGCCACAATGTTAGCTTGCTGTTGATGCTGATTTTCAAAAACATTGTCGTTAATCAATGAATCGAGAAACGAAGAGAAGATATCCTCATTGCAATTCTCCACATAATCTCCTCCATTGCCATGAACGTGGCTGGAACTTGGTAGATCCGCCACTAAACCCTCCGAGTCCCTCTGAGTGCCGGCTTTTTTATCAACAAGTGCCTGGTTTTGATATGGGCAATACAGGTTGGTTGTTGTGAAGTGCTGTTGTGGATTTCTAGTCGTGATCTTGGCTGCAGTTTGTTCTAACTCAGAAGAATTAGAGCTGGGATTAGGGTATGATGTTGGGGGAGGACTATTTTGTGAGGGATTTGAGGAACTAGGGTTTATCAGATTCAAAGGCTTATGGGTTCTTGGATCAATTCCTTGGCTAATTAACTTCTTGCTTAGGTGGGTGTTCCAATAATTCTTGATCTCATTGTCGGTCCGACCCGGAATCCTCCCAGCTATTAAAGACCACCTGAAAAAAGGATCATAATTGAACCCAAAAATCGAAAACAAGTCCCGATAAACACTATATATTGGACATGAAATCCGATAAAGATATATTAAGCAATCATGCATGTATTATTAATTTTGTGTAAGAGAATGAAGAAAATGATAACCTAAAATTTAGTACAGAGCTCCTGTTCAATCTCAGTATACCTGTTACCGAGCAAGCGGTGGAGGCGGAGGATGAGATCTTCTTCATCGGGAGCAATACGACCTTTCTTAACGGATGGACGGAGATAATTCATCCAGCGGAGGCGGCAACTCTTGCCGCACCTGAGCAGCCCAGCACGCTTTGGTAACGTGCGCCAGCGGCCTTCGCCTTCTCGGTTGACGTAGTTGGCTAGGAGCTCGTCTTCCTCCGGTGTCCAGGGTCCTCTCTTTATACCCACCTTGCTGCAACAGGGTGTAGTAGTCTTGCTCGTCGACGCGGAGGATGGATTCGGAGTCCTCATGATGATGGAACTGATAGCCTCTGAATTTCTTGCTCTGTTCTTTGGAACTTGGATTGTTTTATGTTCTTTCGATCTTCTTTGTTGGGTTTTATGTGGGAAAAGCAAAATAGAGAAATTAGGGTTTGGTGGGGATGAAGATGATGATAAATGAGAAGCAAAAAGGGATCCACGAAAAGTTGAGTTTGATTATGGATAGAATCTGAGTAGGAGACACCCTTCTTATATTTATTTCTATGGGGAAATTACCTTATTATTATTGATAGAATTTTCTAAATTTGGAAACCATGCATTTTAGAAAATGGATTTTGAAGTCATTTATTTGACTCAAGCAAATATCTTTGAAAACTTTATTATTCATTATTTGAAAAGCTAATATTTTTGAACAATTTTATTAAGAGTAGTGAATATAGAGGAAGAAAATTTAGGAACAAAATTTGATATTAATGATATGACATAAGTATATTATTGAATGAATTGATTCATATAATATCATAGGTCCTAGTAAAATAAAAAAATAATTATTAAATAATATAATATTCACTTTTTGATATTTTAGATAATCTAACTAATGTTAGGTTATTGATTATAAATTTTGGTCTCATAAAATTTATCCTTTTTTTTTCATTATTTTTTTATTAAGGGTGAGATGTTGTATGTAGATCATTTTTTTACAGTTTTTTTATATAATTTTTATTATTATTAAATGAATAAATGTATAAAATTATTCACATGTTCATTAATTATTTATGACAAATAATTTAGCAACACTTTTCTCTAAAAATTTTTCATAAATCTATACATATATTTAAGGAAAAAGTATTTTGCAGCATGACTTTTTGAGAGACATTTCTAAGGATATCATATTTTAATTAATAACTTTAAAAACTAACAATAAATTGAAAATTTCTATTTATATATATCATGCATATCAATTTTTGTATTAATCTAATATATCTAAACAAGTTGTTGATTACATAAAATTTAATACCATTAAATATATGTAAATAAAAAAAAACTTTTTTTTTATCAAAGTTAAAAATGTTAGATAATTATAAAAATTGACATAAATGATTAACATAAATAGAATTTTCTTCAATTCAACTCTATGTCTTTAAAATACTCTCTCCTTTTGACTTTAGTAGAACTAATTTTTTTTTTGATAAATAATAGAATAATTTTTAATTTGAGATATTTAAATTTAATTGTTTATTTTCTCTTTTTAAAATGTGATTTAAAGCATTTATTTTTATTTTAACCTTACATTTTAAAAAAAATATTTACAATATATATTAAATAAAAGGTTTATTTAAGTAGTAATTAATTAGGGATAAATGTGAAATTTTATCATTTGATTATTACATTCTTATTTTATTGAATAAAAAAAATTAAATTTACTAAAGTTGAATTGAAGAAGTATAAATTACAATGTGAGTTTTTAGTTAGGTCCTAAAAAAATTTAAAAAGATGGTATGCTCTACATTAATTTTTTATATATATTTTTCATATAACCTTATATATTATTTAATTATTAGTTTTTCAATTTTTTATCTAAAGGCACAGTTAGTGCATTTGTTGTATTTTTTATAATTAATTTGTATAAAAAATCTAAATATAAACTTTAATTTAACCAATTAATTAGTCTATTAAAACTATTTACGTAATTATAGTACTAGAATAAAAGTTACTTTTTATAATTTTTTATATAAATTAATTATCAAAATATACATTATTGTATTTTTAAAAATATAACTTAGATAAACTCTTAATTTTTTATACTTTGCTAAGGTTTATAATATTATTTACATTAATTAATTTATTTATTTAATTTAAGGATTTTTCTACCCTT